TGCCAGGGAAATCAGGGCTACAGGCAGAGCAGTGGCAGGACACAAGGCTCCCAGCAGCTCTGCATCATAAGCAGCTTCTCCACCTTGATGGGGCTGTGGTCCTCCTATGCACATCCCCAAGCAAGGAGGGGGCCCACCAGCAGCAGGGGTGGTGAGAACTGTGAAGGGTAAAGGAGCTTAAGGTGTTTCCTAAAAGGCTTGGTAGCCCTTAGCTTAACAGCAGTGGAGAATCGCATCGTTAGTGCAGGATGCATCTGTGTTGACAACGCTGGCAGCGGACGCCGAACTATTTCCCATGCTGCAGAGCACCATGCTGCTCTGTGGATGCTGGGGTGACTGCAGGATCGGTGTAAAACCAGCAATGCCTTTTCTCTCAGGCTTGCAGCAGAAGCTGTTTATTGAGCTCTGCTGCTGCTCTCCTGATCTTGCCTTGCGGTTCTCCTGCTGTCCAACCCTCCCAGCCCTATTCTCTGCCATGAAAAACCTGGTGGGTGCCCACAGAATAGAAATAATCCTGTTGCTTTTCTCTCTCTCTCTCTTTTCCCTCTTGACGACTGCACAAAAAGGGCTCGAATGCCAGAGACCGAAGCGCCAGAACTCGAGCGATGACATTGAGGTCCTCTCCACCGGGACCCCTCTCCAACAAGAGAGCCCCGAGTTGTACCGCAAAGGGACCACCCCATCCGACCTGACTCCGGATGACAGCCCGCTGCAGAGCTTCCCTGCCAGCCCCTCCTCCACGCCGCCCCTGGGTCCTTCCTGCAGGAACAAGAGTGCTCACTTCTCCAGGCAGGTCTCGGTGGATGAAGAGAGGGGTGGGGAGATCCAGATGTTGCTGGAGGGCCGCGGCGGGGATTACTTGCGACCCAACAGCTGGAGCGAAGAGAAGGTCGGTGGGACTCGCGGCATGAGAAGCGGGACGCTGCGCAGTGGGCAGATGGGGTCAGCCTCTGTCCCTGAAGACTACAGAGGTCGGAGTGGAGGACACAAACATTCAGCCTCCAACCACAAGCAAAGAGAGAGGTGGACAGATTCCCCAGCCACAGTTTCATGGACTTCCCACCACAGGTCCCACAACCACAGCTCAGGGAGCTCCAAACTGCTTGAGCTAGAAGAGGAGAAGATGAGCAATTACGAGATGGAGATGAAGCCCCTTATGAGGATGGATTCTTATATGCAAGAGATTCACACCCAAAAAAGACACTATAGCAAAGGAGGACCCTGCAGGAGCATGGCTGATGACCACCGTGGGGAAGACCGGGGCTACGGGGTCCAGAGACTGAGGTCTAAGTCCCAGAACAAAGAGAATTTCAGGCCAGCTTCCTCTGCCGAGCCCACGGTGCAGAAACTGGAAAACCTGAGATTCGGGGACAAAGCTGAACCTCGGCTATTAAGGTGGGACTTAACCTTCTCCCCACCACAGAAATCTTTACCTGTTGCACTAGAATCTGAAGAAGACAATGGGGATGCGCTCAAATCCAGTACGGTAAGTAGCTGAAACTGTGTGTTGACATCAACCTGATGCAGAGCTGTTGTGGTGGTGGACCCCAAAGTCGTAGTGGGTTTGTGCCTTGACTCCCTGCTCATCCCTTCTCCCATCCTGCATAATGGTGTGTGCTGGAAGGGTTTTCTCTGCAGAACATCTTGGTGGGAGCTGCAGGAAAGGTGTTGGTGATGCTTCCTGGTGGTTTGGTTATGGCAACAGAACTTCTTGCTGGCCCAAGAGCGTGGCATGACCCTGTTGCCACATCAGTGCTTAAATCCTGGTATCTGGGCATTGTGTGAACCTCCCATGGCTCTCAGTCATTTTGCTGCTACATGATGGCACTGCCTACTGAAGCAGAGGCCTTGTCACTGTGTTGTACTAGAGGCCTGACCCAGGTGAAGAAGAGAGCCATGGCCACAGAGCAGGGGACATTGCAAAGTGGTTGTGCTCCTGAGCTGATGGCTGCTTGCTCTTCCTGTACTGATCTGTGTGGTGCAACACAGCTCAGGGGTTTGTGGTGTGTGGATGTGAGCCAGGAGGAGGGGTGCAATGCAAAAAGGTCTTGGCAAACTGAAGACAAGAGGATGCAATTTAGGAAGGACACCAAGGCAGGTGAAAGCAATGCACAAGCACAGCAAGAGTAGTGAGCTATTAGAGCTCTGCAGATCAGGGTGATAGAGGAGCTTACAGCCAAACATCAGTCTATATTATCTATACCTGTATCTATCTATCTAGCTAGCTCGCTATACTATTTACATCTACACCTCTACAGTCTATATACTATATTATCACTCCACTGTGAGGAGCACAAGCACACTTTCTAAACAGGGGCACAACTTGTGGGACTCAGAGGATAACCTCTGTGAGAAATCCAGTCCTGAGCTCCTTGCTTTGGGATAGACAAGGACATGTTGAAGGACATGTTGGGCATTACCAACTGCCTGCTGGAGGTGTGCAGTGTAGGGAAGAGGAGACAGAGCAATCTTCAAATACATGAAGCAGCTGCTGAAAAGTGGAAGGGAATAAACCATTTTCAATGAACAGTATTGATGGGCTTACATGCAAGCATTAGAGGCAGTGGTTACCCGTTAGCCATTACTAGTGAGCTGAGACCTCACTTGGAGTATTGTGTGCAGTTCTGGTGTCCTCAACATAAAAAGGACACGGAACTGTTGGAGCAAGTCCAGAGGAGGGCCATGAGGATGATCAGGGACTGGAGCACCTCCCATATGGAGACAGGCTGAGAAAGTTGGGGCTGTTCAGCCTGGAGAAGAGAAGGCTGCATGGAAACCTCACAGCAGCCTTCCAGTATCTGAAGGGGGCCTATAGGGATGCTGGGGATGGACTCTACATTAGGGACTGTAGTGACAGGACAAGGGGTAATGGGTTAAAACTTAAACAGGGGAAGTTTAGACTGGATATAAGGAGGAAATTCTTTCCTGTTAGGGTGGTGAGGCACTGGAATGGGTTGCCCAGGGAGGTTGTGAATGCTCCATCCCTGGCAGTGTTCAAGGCTAGGTTAGACGAAGCCTTGGGTGACATGGTTTAGAGTGAGGTGTCCTTGCCCATGGCAGGGGGATTGGAACTTGATGACCTTAAGGTCCTTTTCAACCCTAACTATTCTATGAGTCTATGACAATAAATTGCCAGGGGAGGCCATGGTGGCAGGGAGGGAGGAGGTGGTCTAAGACCTGCTTGGACATCTGCAGCTCAAATATAACTTGGTTATAGCTGAACCTGCCTTGGGAGAAGGCTGAGCTGTGTGATTTTTCAGACCCTTTGCAGGCCTGGTTTTTGATGATTCCTAGACTGACATTGAGAGCACTTGTGCTCCCCATTGGTTTGGTGTTGCTAATTAGGTGATGGGGATCTGATGGGAGCAATGGGGAAGCCACCACCGTACCAAACTGCCTCTTGTTAAGTGTCCAACACAGGAGGGATCCCATGGTGCTGGATTTCCCCCAGCCCAGGCCATACCTACACAGGCAAAAGAGAAAGTCTGTAACTCTCAGATGGTGACATGTCAGGCTCTGGCAGAAGATAGGAGCTAAATCTCCTTGTCAGGGCAGCAGAAGATGATGCTTGGTTGGTTGGGAGACAGGGATCACGAAACTGAAACTACATTTATCAGTTATGCTGAAATTTTGGGGTAGAAAGCATCATGTTCTGTAATGTATCATCACCGCTGACATCCCTAAAGCATCCCTGCTCCTCCAGACGCTGGCAGAGCAAAGGTACCAGCACCTGCAGATGAGGAATGAAAGCAAATGGGTGGGGAAAAGGAGGGAGTGGGAACATCCGCATCCACCAGCAACCAGGATGCAGGAAGGACTAAACTACAGATCCGCTGTGGTTTCCCTGATGTGGCTGTGGATAAATCACCCCCACACAGAGCCCTGTAGCTTTCCAGCTTCCTATTCATCCTGCAGGCTTCAGCGCAGGCTCGGAAGCACCCACACAGCATTAGGGAAGAGCTGAACACGGTGTGTTTGTTGGTGGACTGCACCGTAGGACACACAGTGAAGCCAGCCCTGAGCACACACCACTGAGCAAACCAGCGGGTGCTGAGGCCAGACCAGGCTGTCCTTCCCTGATAGAGCAGATGCCTGTGAAACACTAGAGAAATGACAGGCAGCATTAGGAGCCTGACAGGCTTCCAGAGGGGAAAAGCAGCAGCCGTAATTGCACAGACATCAACCCCGGTGAAGCCTGTGGGACTCACAGATGGTCCAGCACCTCTCATAATGTGACCTTGCGTGGCAGCAGGGAGCTGGGGCAGACACAGGTCCCAGGGGAGGGATGGAGTCACCATTTCTCCTCGCTGAGAGCCACACATCCCTTGGGGAGATCACTGGCATGAGTGGCATTGATGTCTCTCCCCACCCAGCCAAAGGCAAGCAGACCCCAGCCTGCACATACACAAACCTCCCACCCAATGAGGTGGGTTTGAGCTGGAGGTAAATAGCCCCTAATGCAACATAACATTAATGGCTCTTCCAAGTGAATCCCAGGCAGTAATGAAGGGGCACAGCCTGCATGGAAAGGCACACAGAAAAGCCATTAGGATGCACATCATACTTTTAAAGTGCTATAGCTGTGAAGCAGCATGTTCAGTTTTCTCACATTCATAACCGAGGGTGGAACAGATGGCGAAGGTTTGGGAGGAAGCTAATGTAATACAGAGGAAGAGATAATATGTGGATTTAAATAACCTACAATGCCAGCAACAATTTGTTCTAGCAAGAATTGCACTGTGCTAAGGGGGTTTTGTTCCAGTGGCCTGTCAGAGAGGGGTGGTTGGGCAGGAGCAGGGGAAAGAGGTGTAGGAGAGCAATGGGGGATGCAGTGATTTGTGTTCCAACCTCCTGCCTAGCACTGTGAACCTGCCTGCACCCACCAGCAAGGACCTCAAGGCATTTCAAACTTCAATGAGCGTGAGTCCCTAAGGAAGAGGAGGGGAAGGCTAAAGGGAAGGATTTACCCCACAGCCCCCACATCCACCTCCCTTGGTGTGCACTCAGTGACACTGCACACACAGATGCTTAGTCCAGGGACAAAACCACTGGATCCCCATGCTCTGGGTCTTTTCACACAGAATTAAGTCTCTCCAGCTTCCCCAAATCCCTATTTCTTACTCTATCCCCAGACAGCCCTCCTCTTTGGACTGCCTGCAGCTCCCTGGAAGGGCTGGCTGTGTGCACGCGTGTGTGTGCACATGTGTGTGCCCACGCTGCTTCAGCTTGCATGACAGCCTGCTTCCCTGTGATCCACAGCACTGCCATCTGCGACAATGCTCCCTGGAAAGGGCATTTCTCACCTCCCATACAGCTGGGCTGCTTCAGAAAGGTGCTGTCAAAGGAACGGGAAGGATGCTCTTAGCTGGGTAGGGCTGGTTTTGCCCTACCTGGAGTATCCCTACGCAGGGCTGAGGTCACCCTCACAGCTTAAGCTTGGTTTAAAAGTAATCTGCCAAAAACCAGCTCTACACACAGCATCAGTGAGGCCGGTGGGCTGGCTCTGCACTGCAGTGCCAGCTCCATCTCTGAGAGCAAGCATACCTCTGGCACAGCTGGTGGGAGCAGGATGGGGATGCTGGCCTTGCAGAAACACAGTCTTGAAATGGTCACTGGCCTTGATTTGTACCTTAGAAGCAAGGCTGGATGGGCTGCGGGGTCCCTTGGAGCCCAGCCCCTTGTAACATGTGCCCCAGTGGGGATGCAGACCTCTGCAGAGGAGCCAGATGTTGCTCTAGGTTGCTGTATGAGCTATGATGCAACCTCTTGGTTGCTATACAAGCTATGGGAACTTTGTTCTTCTGAGCCATTTTTCACCAGCCCCTTAAAGAGATGCTCCCAGAACCCTTCTTCATCAGGGCTGCACATCAGTAATTGAAAATTGCTCTTATAAAGGTCACTTCGTGAGCCCAGCGCTCAATAGCATTGATGAAATTCCGCACTGCTTGGTGTTCTCTGTCAGGGGACTTTGGGGTTTCAGGGTCATCAAGCTCACACTACAGTCATACAAGCTCTTTAAAATCACATTTAAAGCCACCTGATCTTTCTGTGCCTCTGTGTGCACTGACCCCTGCATCCACAGAACAAACTCACATCAATTGTCACCATTCAGGCAGATGAAAATGGAAGCCAACACACAAGGACCAGCATCGGTGTTGTTGGATTAAAGGACTTACAGGAACATCACCACCCTTTCTGGCCTTGAATGCCCACGAGGTGCAAAGCTCAGCCTGTGCCTGCATGCTTCACAGGTTCCTAGAGCCTTTGAGAAGACCTTTTTAGATTGGGAAAGGAAAAGAGGAATTGTTGAGGCACTGGAAAAGGAAATAGGCTTTCTAAAATGCCAGCAACCCTTTAACCCACAAGCACAAAACACATCACATTCTTGGGGGGGGAAGATATATATATCCTTTCCTGCAGGTGCTGAACATCTGCAGCTTCTAAAAGGGAAAAGACGTGTTTTAGGCACAGAGGTCCTCAGCGTGC